ATATGGAAAGTATTTGGTGATGTGCCCCCTCATTTATCTACAACTTTGGGTGTATGAGGACTTAAAAACTCTGCAAATCCTTGCGCTTTGCGCACTTTGATCATGGTTCTCCAAACAAAATGGATTTCAAGCCCCAGAAATGATTCTCTTGAATGCTATCTCAACATGTGATTTGGACCGGCAATTTCAATGGACCCTAGATGAGTCAGATTTGCACTATTTAAAGAGCTCCAAATCCATTTTTGTAGTACAGAAATGGCTTTGCAGGTATTAGAATAGTTGTGTCCTCATCAATCAAAAAGGATGAATTTAAAAGACGGGGGCACATGGTTTTTGCATGTGAACACCATGTGGCTTTGGCCACATGCAGGCACTTCACCCTATTGTGCAAGAGACAGAAACGTACAATTTATCTTCTCTCTTACCTCCATTGGTCGCGGTGCACCAAAAGTCGCAAAACCCACATTTCCTGGAGCAAATGTTACCCTGCCCGGAAGAGAAACACCATATATTCCCCATCTTCCTGCATAGATGAGTGCCCCATACTCGTCAATGGGTTGCACTGGTGGCTGCAGAAATAAAAAAAGAATGAGTAAATCACAGATTTTAATCATATGTTCACTATTTCATAGACAGATTCCTGTAGGCACTTTATGAACCATGGTCGAATGGAGGATGGTATACAAACTCATCATCCATACGATTTCTATCATGGAAGAAGACAAATAAATAAATAATACTGGCACTTCAGGAAGGCATACGACAAATAGTCCACCGACAGAACATTAGCAAAAATTTGATAACCCAGTAACAATGTCATTAATGATAATGAAAATAAACAATAGATTTGTTATCTTGAAGTTCAGCATGATGCTTCCCACGTTAAATGAGAGGGAAACAGTTAAATACCTGAGGCAGTCGTGGAGTCTTATTATATATATCCCATATTTCCTCCCCCTTGATGGCACCCTTTTCAAGTAAAGTATCTACACCACACAAAATACATTAAAGGCCCTAAAACCAAATGGAACTTGATAAAATGTGTTCCAATATATCTATTTGTATTCTCGAGAATGAGGAATAAAACATTGCCAATCACAATTGGAAGTTTTAATATGAAAAAAAATATCCTCACCAGTAATAGTTTCAACTGCAGACCGATACTCTCTCAGGACAGAAGTACATTTGGCCACAGCAAAACGCATATATTCGTCCTTGAGTGCTTCTAACTTTGGACAAAGCTGGGAAAATGTAACACAAGTAAACACTCTATTTTATTACTCTATTTTGTTGCTAATTGCTTTAGCTAAATCATTTAGATGAAACTTCTTCACAGAACTGGCAAATGAGCCATGAAAAAAATGAACTATTAATTCAAGGTCCAGATTATTTAGATGAAAAATACATGTGTTAATCTGGACTGTACAGTAAAATGAATCAGATTGCAGGGGGACCAATTAATGTGTACCATAGAGCCCATTTAATCATAGAAAAGCATAAAATAATCTAATGGACTATGCATAAGCCTTTGTCTACTGGTTCATCACCATCCATAGAAATGAATAGTGACAGATTAGACCCATGACTGTGTCCATGTCCTTTTTTTTGGAACCACCGGTGGGTCCTGCTCTCCATCGTCAACAATTATTTCAATGGCCAGTGAGGACCCTAAAGAATAAGATTCTTTCATTATCCATGGGATTATAGCATTCTTTTCCTAGATCATATATGACCAAATGACAAGTAAAATATAGCAGGTTGGGTGCTCAGTCAAGTGCACATTAGACCCAAACATAACCATATTGAAAATTTTATGTACGAAAAGGAAATTCTCTCCCTAAGTTTGTCAAAAACATTTTAACTGCTTCTTTATTTCTTGCTTCTTATCTATCTTACAACAAAACACATAATTCCTAGTTAAACAAGAATTTTCTTCTTTAAATAATATGCAACAATATGCAAGGTGTCAAAATAAATCTCCACCGACTTACATTCCGTACAAGGTCACTTTCAGTCTTATAATAAGCTTTGCCGAATGCTGTCATCCCAGTCTGTAGAATCAGGAATTCAGCACGGGTTGCAGCTTCCGTTGTTGCTTTAGCTGAAATCCAACTTAAGTTGTCTATCCCAAACATCTCCACCTCAATGACTCTAGCTATAATCCATAAATTTCTAGATAAGTATGGCAAATTCTATATATAGCTCTGACAAAAGCATCGCAGACAAGTAAGAACTACAAATCTCATAATCATCCAAGCCTTATCCCAATTATTTGAGGTCAGCTAAATGAATATGAAGTCCCCAACTAGATATCATTTGGAATTAGAAAGTTTTAAGGATGGTCTTATTATTAAATGAAACTAGACAAGCTCACAAGCAAGGTAGCTTTGATCGCCTCAGGCATCTTTGAAAACAAAGTGCATTCAAAACGTCTGCAGTAATCACAAACTGGGCATTTTTGGAGTTGTATCATTAAGGGAATACAACCTTGCTGTAATATGGAGGTTCAGTTTATGGCTTTCCTCAATGGTGCTTGTGGGCAACTTTGAGATTAAAGGTTCAGACTTCAAACCAAATTTTCTTTTATAACTGATGATGGTGGTGATGATGATGATGATAATCAGAAATATAATTTTGCAACCGAAGCAAAACTATAATTCTGCAACACAATGAAGTTAACTTCAAAGCAGTTGACTGAACAATCAAGTACCATCAAGACAAATCACAAAAGCAACCAGTTTAGGATACAGCAATGACATCAAGACAAAATAACCAAAGAAGACCAGATAATTACAGCATACAGATAGGTTAAAGGTTATAAAACATACGAGCACAAGCCTGCACTATAGAATTCACATAGTCCGACTTTCTCAAGAAGACCCTTCCAGAAGCTTCTTTATAACGCATATTAGGCTTGCCACGAATTGAATTTATATCTGTCTGCTACATATCAGATTCCCCAAAGAATTAATCAGGAATCTACGCACCAAACCAATAGAAGTTGATGAATAACACAAGAAGCAAGTCGTTTCTCTCATAAAAGATAATGAAAAGTATAACCATAATCCAATGGATTAGTGTAAGGTATCCCAAAGGGCATCCACCATTTGAACCGTGGAGATACACTGTACCAAAGTGAGTGTCCCTGTGGGCCCCACGAGCTAGCCATAACGAATATACAGTGGTTGCAGTCTTGGGAAACAATATAGTGTACTCCACATTGGATAATGGTATACCTTCCCCAAATATAAACAATATGGAGAATTAATTTATACAATATATTGACCTCAATGAATGGGCGGTGATGGTCTGGATAGTAGCACGCAAGAACAGACACGGCAGCTTCCCGATATGCCAACCTTAGTTTCAGCTCCTCAGGAACTTCAGCTTCGTCTTCTTGACCAGTTTCAAATGTGCCTTTTTGCTGCAAAACAGAATAAACCAACAACACATGAAAAGAAAAGTCAAGAAGCCAAATTTCATATCAATTGATGGTTATGTACAAAATTCATCAAAGTTTTTCCAAGAGAACAATTTCAGAGAACCTACCCTTTTCAAGGCTTCCAAGAGCTCCTCCTGTCCAATAAAGTCCTGATCCTTTCTTGCTGTCAAAATACCAGCTTCATTCCTACCACCAAAATGCCTCAATGAATTGGAATACCTTTAGAAATGGAAATAGAAACACAATGAAAAAATTTTAGAAGAAATTACAATATGTTTTGCAGCTCTGCTCCAGTAAAATCTACCGTGAGTTCAGCTACTTCCTTTAGGAGAACCTCTTTCTCTTCCTCAGATCTAAAAAACTTGTTTCTCGCATGAACCTGGCATTGGTGGAATATCAACCCAAACCTGACCACGACATTATATTCCTCATAATCTCAAAATCTCAATAATGACCAACACAGTTGGAAATATACCTTTAAGATTGCAAGCCTTCCATCCTTTGATGGCAACCCAACTCTGATTATCTTGTCAAACCGACCCTTTCGCAAGAGAGCAGGATCCAAAATATCCAATCTATTAGTTGCACCAATAACTAACACCTGTTTTCACCCATTTCATTGTAATTTCATGGCAATTATTCTCTGTTGAAAAGAAGATAACAGAAGAAAGCTATGTTTAACCTGTGATGATGAAACTTTGAACCCATCCATCTCAGTAAGGATCTGAAGCAAGCCTTGCTCTCTTTCAGCACCACCCTAAAATATGAAAAATAAAAATTTCTAAATATGGTATAATGAGACCAGAGAGTAAAAATATATAGAAAAATGTCTGTTAAAATAAATCTCATCCTAGAATAAGGAGTCCATAGCCAAAACGCATTCAGAAGAAAAAAAGAGTCCGTAATAAAAGAATCATGATACGCATTATTTCTCTTACCCCACCAATGTCAGGTCCACCACGTTTAGAACCAATTGCATCTATTTCGTCAATGAATATGATGGAAGGAGCAAATGATCTCGCACTGGAAAAGAGATCCTTAACACGAGCTGCTGCAACTCCTACAAACATCTGCAGTGTACACCTAAAGTTAGCAAGCAAAAAACTGCAATATTCAACAGCACACAAATTAGTTCTAGAAAAAAGAATGGGTGACCCAAACATAAATTACAAGTAACACTCAAGAAGTAAAGATATCGCACAAAGCCTATCCAGAACATTGTACAAGTGCGCATGTTCTATGGGCAAGATCTAGAATGCTATGGTACCGACAAAACATATCTGGAATCCCATCCGTCACCCACCAAAGTAGATCAAGCATCCTTCCACTCTTCTTTCTCACCATCAACACAAATGTTATTCCACCAAGAGAATTTCTAAAACCACTTTTTTCATACCCCATTCAGTAAACAATAAATCATTGATCCGAACCACAGACCTTCTCATGAACTAAGCCACCACCAGAATCAAAACCAAACCTAACCCATAAACACCCACACAAACAAACCCAAAATACCTTCCCCTCCCAATCCACAAACCTGAGGCTCACTGGCAGCAAATTATACGAAGAATTGAATCCACAGACACTGATTGCAACTCTGTAGATGACAATTCATACCTCCCTACCAACTCCGATGGACTAGAAAAGATATCAACAGCAGAAAGCTACATCGAGCTGATGCTGCAAGTCATGGGACTCACATACAAAGCCCAAGCCGATCAAATTATGGATGCCTTGCATGTCAACACAATTAAAAGACAACCCAGGACAGACAAAGGAGCCAAGAAATGGAAAAGGGGAACAGAGAACATAAGAACCTTCGTTTTGACATTAACTATGAAAAGAAATTACATCCACAAACGAGCCCCTGCCAAACCCAAAGCCAGCGGTCAGGGAGGCCACAAAGTCTCCCAAAGCAACAACAACCTCACAAATGAAATTCTGGCCTGAAACATTAGGGGTCTGGGTGACCCTACCAAGAAAAAAGACACACTGAATTTTGTCCATACGCATACACCAGAAACTTGGCAATCACAGACATGAAAAAGGAATTTAAACTTTGGCGAGATTTAAGGCAGGAAAGCCACTGTCTGGAATGCTCTAGCTACATGGAGGCCTCAAGGGGTATCTGAGTTATTTGGAACACATCCTCCATTACCCAAATTGTATCCAGAATAGACCATTTCTCGGTCACAAACACCTCCAATTCACTAAGGGATTCTCCTAGACCTTCACAGGAGTATACGATGCCCTCAGAGAAGATTTTCAGAACAAAATAGACCTCTTCTAAGCTTCCTTACGACAGCCAAGGTGTATTGGTGGGGATATTACATCAAATGCTGGTCCTACAAAAATAATAAGTAAGAAGGACCACAACAAGCATGAAAGGTTTCTCAGCTTCGTAAATAGACATGAGCTGGTCGATAATCACAATGAAGCTTCATTCACCAGGTCAAATCAAATTGACAGCCCCATTTTCATCATTCTCAACCAATTTCTACTTCCCCAGACTGGGATCCAACTTCCCAGGCATACACAGCAGGGCCCTTCCAATACCATTCTCCAACCACCTACCAATCCTAGTCAACAACAATCCAGCTTTCTGTGATCTGAAACTGATTTAGCTCAAGAACAATAATTTGCACAGACTTAGTCCAAACCAGTCCTTCAAAAGTCAGGGCTGGGGAGGGTTCAAACTATGCAAAAAACTCCAAATGTTGAAGGAAAAGCTGAAATCCTGGAACCAGGACAACTTCTGTTGTATCCAGCAACAAAAAGAAGCATTGCTCCAGGAGATCTCAAGGCTTGACAACATAAAGGAAAATCATGGCGTAACATCACATTAGCAAATTACAAAAACCACTGCCAAAGTTGAGTTCCAAAAGATCCTAAAACGAAAGAAGGTACAGGTATCAAAGGTCATGCATAAAATGGTCTGAGGATGGGGACAGGAACATGGCAAAGACAAAACTCATCAGGATAGGAGTACAAACAAAAAACCTTTATGGGATCTTGCCCATAGGCTAGGGTGCCATATTGGCCACTTGCCAAACAAGCATCTGAGCCCACCAACGTGCAAGGGGAAACCCAAAATAGCCCTTTAAGCCTCGTGATAGAAATGTTAGAAGAAAGACAACAACCTTGGAAATGTCACCAGCTGTCAATAGCAGGAAGTTTAAACTTGATAAATGCAAAACTTTGAAATGTCCGAATCCTCCATACATCTTTGTTTAGGTTGGCTGCCCACATCATTAATTAGCTGGAAAAACTTCGAAAGGACATCTTCTGGAGTGGTGCAGAAGGAGAACGCAAGTTTCACTTGGTAAAATGCGAACCCATATGCAAATCCAAAATGGCAGGAGGCTTGGGAGTTCGTAAACTCAAGTTAAGTTGGCACTACTGCAAAAATGATGGTGGCATTTTGCCATCATCAAGATCACCTGTGGTGGCTAGTTATCCAGCATAAATATGACACTGAGCAACGATCAAATCAAACCACAAGCCTAACCAGATCTTCCTCTGTTGCTTGGAAGGAAACCCAGGTGCATCAGAACTTCCGCAAACACATTAGATTCAAAGCAATAATGGAAACAAAAGTCGATTTTGGAGGGACCTTTAGCATGACCAGGCAACATGGGGGATAAACTTCCCCAAACTGTTTCAAATAGCCACAGACCAAGAAGCCCCCAGTGTCAATAATGGCTGAAATCATTGGTGGATACCTTGTTTCACCCAAAACTTGAATGACGTAGAAATGGAGTGCAAAGGCTATCGAAGCTCTCAACTAGTGCCACATCCCCCTCCAGGGGCCAGACAAGGCAATATTGAAACCCTAAAATCTCAGGTATATAAGCTATATCTCCATGCTTCAAACTCCTCAAAACACTAAATCCTACCCCAGCAGCATCTGTTGGGTTTGGAGTCACTGTCCATGCACCACCAAAAGTTTTTGTTTTCAACAGGTTAGCAGGCCTTAACAAAGCCCTTAATGTTGACCACTTGCAACAATAGTATCCAAATATCAAACAGATATTTGGATGAAGAGAAAACTGAAGACCATCTACTCTGCATTGCAAAATAGCAACTGGTCGCCGTCCTGGTCCCTAGGAAGTTTCAACATTCCATCATTGTGGACGGAAACAGTTGAAAACATCTTCTAACACTATGTGTCGCCTCAAATCCCAAAATCAACCTAGTCTCTTATGGCACCTCTCTATCCTTGCTGTTATTTGGCCCATTTGGTCGGAAAGAAACAACCAAATATTCCAAAACAGAGCTTCAGGAACATCAAGCTTAATAGGTCAAACCGAATCATTAGTATCACAAGATTGTGGGCCCTTGCACCTAAGAACTCTTTGGCACTCACTCATCAACCTAGAGAATCAATGGATACATGTAAGTTGACTCTCCCCCTCACCAAGACGCAAGTTCCCCAAACTCCTCACCACCAACAACCACTTTCACAACCAGAAAACCCACTCACTCAATCCAAATAGTTGAAACACAGTTTTGTAAAGCCAATTTTACCACAATGTATCTTTTTCTCAAAATAATTTACCACACTGACATTTTTCTTCTTTAGGATTTTATAATCATCACAATTTTGTGGCCATCCAAGTCCTTGGGAATTATACAAGTTCTGTACACCTCAATTAATTCAATAAAACAGTCCAATGTCAAAAAGAAAATGTCCAATATCAATCTCCAACCATATTTTTGTCTTTTATGTAGCTGGTATATCTTTATTTTGTAATATGTACTCCAATGTTTGTAATCTGTAATATTATTTCCACAATCCACATCCAAGAGTTCCATACAGGTAAACTCATCCTTCGCTATATGGAGGAGCCTGGATCTCCTTGTTAAGGGACAAAGAGACATGATGTGCCCCTTGTATTCTTGAGAGATTTTCTGTCACATAAGAGCTCCGCGGCTTTGATAACGCAAAGATCAACACCTTTTTCATTTTAAGACGGTATCAAATAAGGCTGGATCACATTGGTTTTCTGTGCTTTTCCATTTGACATATGAATGATGCTGATCTGTGCTTTGCCATTGACAAATGAATCGACGCTGCACCCATTGTCAGATCTCAGCTACCAAAAACCAGAATCACTTTTGTTGCCAATAACTTAGTATTTCTATTAGCAGTACTCTATTGATCTTGTTCATTCACTTTCCTCATTTTCTAATCTATAAAAAGGAGAAACAGCAAGGGTCGACATTACATTTAACACCACGTACCATACCAGACAGTTTCATAAGACATTGGATGATGAACATGTGTAATGCAGTGCTAAAAAATCATACACAGGAACTGCTGGTATGGGCATAAAATAGTTGTTCCATTTTTTCAGAAGATAAATGGAAAATAGATGAGAGTACCTACTCCACTAGCAGACAATCCATTGCATCTGGCCAAGAATGACCTGAACTTGTGGTTTCATATGGGTGATAATGATTTCTCTATAAGCTAAAGTACTGGAGATCCTGGAAGGGCTTTATGAATTGAAATAAACATTGAGCAGAAAACTTAAAACACAATGAAATATTTAAGAAAGACACAATAGAAGCTACTATTAATATAGTTGAAAGCAGTGGTTTAAAAAACGGATCGATGGCCCGGATCGGGCACCCCAAAACCCATCCGGATCGGTGAATCGGTGATCTGAATCAGGAATCGGCGAAATCGGTAGGATTAAGCCTTAAAAAAATCCAAAAAAATTATTAAAATTCATTATAAATATTGTTTTTAGGAATCTAATAAGAAATGAGGGTACTACATTATTAACTTTTATTTTTTTCATCAATATGTGAATATTGAAATGTTCTTTCCCTGTATGAACTTATGTTAACTATTAAATTTACATCACACAAAAGAAAAATTATAGAATTATCATGGATGAAGTATATAATCATACCTGAACTACAATAAGAATGGATTAAAACGATGAAAAAAAGGCACCAAAATCTCGAATCGGTCGGATTCGGCCTTAAAAAATTTTAAAAAGATTATTAAAAATCATTATAAATGTTGTTTTTTAGGAATCCAATAAGAAATGAGGGTACTACATTAATAACTTTTTATTTTTTTGCATCAATATGCGAATATTGAGATGTTCTTTTCCTGTATGAAGATTCTTATCAAACATTTATTAAAACTTATCTATTATACATTGAAATTAGAATTATTGGTTTGTATTTTATTATTTTATCATCATTTTACTATACAAATAATAATAAATTTGAAATTCGTCTTATAATATCACCTAATTTAAAATTTTAATTTACAACTATAACAAAAATTAATATATTGCATAATTATAATGTAAATAAATTAATATAATTAGTATAATTATCGTTGTAATTAGTATAATTATTAGTTACAATATTATAATAAATGTGATCAAAAAACAAGGGTATGACCCTCACAAATAAATAAATATAATGTATAATAATTAGTGTCGATAT